TAATCCAAACTTCTTTATCAGGGGGAGGGGGGAGCACGAGGAGAAGCAGGGAGACACATGTGGGGGAACAGCTGCATGTGTGTGTGCATTCGTGATTTCCTGCGTGTCTCTCGCCGAGTGAGGTGAGAGACTGCTTGATATTTGAAGGACTGTAAACAAGCCAACAACAAGCCTTGTTAACGATGCCACTCAGAGTTAATGCGCAGAACAACTTTCAACTCAAAATCCGCTTTTCAGGAAAGTCTGAATTCCGCGCTTATTACTGCCGAATAAATGCTGATCCGCACTCTGCCTCGGTGGGGCTGTGGAATCTTTGGCAGCAGCTGCAAATTCCCTTTCAAACACAGTGAAACATAGTGGGATGTAATACGTTAGCGTGTGTGTGTATTTACCCAGGTATTTCGAGAACCTGTCATTTCAAAGAAGAAACACACACACACACACCAGCATTTCCACAGTAGGCCTCTGACAACAGGTACACACAGTATGTGGAGAGCATTCCCTTTCATCGATGCACCTGACACCCAGTTACTGACAAAGAGACATGCATCAACAACCCAATGTACTTGAATTGGATTCATACGCATTGCTCCAAATTTCACATCCTAAATTAAAAAAGTTGAACACACATTAACATGGATATTTGTTGTTTATGAAAATGTCTAATATTGTATATGTATAGAGTAAATAAAAAAGTAAAAGATGCCAACAAACTTATTAAAAAATGTGCAATAGAGTGTGGGTCACAGTCTTCGGGCATACTTGAACCTTCTGTGTGTTGAGATTGCCCCCTACTGGCCCTTTTTAGAGGCATGAGAGATGATTTCAACCACTTTACTGCAGGTAAACAAGACTTCACAGCGAGAACAGATGGAGACAAAGTGCTGACATGTATATATTGAGAATGCAGAGTTGTAATATTGTCTTTTACTCATTTTGTTATTTTGATTTGATGAGAATGTTTCAATACTATCCAATGCATATGTTTTTTATACTTCTTAATAATTAAAGGTAGAGAATCTATTGAATGTTGATCTGCGTGGGTGAAGGAATCCACTTGCTGGAATGATATAACCTGAGTGATGTCAACACAGACACGTTTATGAAAAGAAAGTCTGTCCAAGAAGAAGCAGAGTTTGAGGAATGAAGGTTTTTACAGGGATACCAAAACAAAAAGATGTGTTCAATTGAACAATCTAATTATTGGAACTTGACTTCTGTTAAATGGCAAAAAGAAAGGATACCTGCACTGCAGATTTAATCGGGAATTCAAAAATCTGTCTCCTGCAAGTACCTCAAGGTCCTTTTGAGTACCCTTTTTGAGCAAAATACACAGTACAGCTTAATATTTCTAATGCCTGATTCAGACAGCCAGTGTTTGTGATGTCACAAACCTTATAAACCAATCCTGCCAACTTGTGGGTGGGGGTCAGTGGCAGGAAATGGCTCCTCGATGGCAGGTCAACCGTGAGTGTGGGGAGACAGGGAGCAGCCATCATAATGCATTGATAGATCCCTGCCACAGAATGAGGAAGGAAGGCGTGGAGTTACATTTAAGCCATTTCAAGGCATGAGAGGAATTCTTTCATGACAAACACTTTGAATGTGTCATTTGGAGGAACAAAGTTTAACAGGTTGTGATTAGCTACTGGAGTGAGGATGATCAGAATACTCCTTTAATCAATAGACTGTTGTGCTGCCAACATGCCAGCTAAAGGTTATGTGGCATCAAGCTCAATCTGTTATCACTCTTGTGTTAATGATTCATGATGCGATTCAAGGTCAAAACAATGTGAGACGTATCCAAATGTTTCCATATGATGCAGCTTAATGTAGAGGGAATGATGCAGGAAGCCACTCCACCCTCACGACTCCTCTCCATGGTCACTGATCAATACTCTGCAAGTAATAGAATTGTTCCATTTTTTCCTTTCTTTTCCTGATGAGGTTACCACTTCACTTCAGAGGCAGAGCAGCAGCCCGAGCTAGAAGACAGTACCATGTAAATAATTTGACATGTAAGCGTACGATAGATTGAAACTATTCAACATCCTTCCCACGAGATGTGACTCACAAGCAAAGGAAAAAAATGCTGCAAAATATCAGAGGAAAGAGTGGAGCTGTTTACTGTATGCATGAACACACACACACACTCCAGAGATGGAACTAGAGGGATATCTTTGAAACGCTGGCAGTTCGCACTCAAGAATCTTGAATTTAAATGCAACACACCATCTTGATGCAGCAGTTTGTTGAACTAATCCCACGACACACACAAAGACATTTACTATAAGACACACACGAGCCCACATCTTGGGAGAGTTTGGGGATTTTTTTTTGTGCTGCAGGAGTTTTGTCCCATTCCCCTTGTTTGTGAAGTGCCTCCCACGTGGATTCCGGTGCCACGACGCAGGTTTTTTGTATCTCTCCGGGGCTGCTGAAGCTCGGGCTCTATCAGCATGACTGATCTCATTTATCCCCGTCGCATCCAAAGAGGCCCGCGGTGTAGAGAGGAAAGAAGCACAGATCATTGAGCTGTGCGGTTATGGAGCAGACGGGGACTCGCTTGTCTTCGTGTGCAGCAGAACTCCGGGGGTCGCAGGAGATGTATGGTGCTTCATGATGGGAGAAACAAACAGATCACGACCCTCAGCTGCACTGCATTATCTTCTACACTGGATTAGTCTATCAATGTCAACCACACTACAGCAACAAGCATATGATTTAGTAGATTCCATTGCATACCTCTGCCGCACCAAAGCAGCTTTCAGACATGCACTGAATCTCCTGACATTCTCCAGGGCGGCTGCATGTGAGAACGCAACTGTTTTTCTGGTAAAATGTCCGAATTACACCAACCTGAAAAAAATGTTTCATATATTCTTGGAGTGATGGGATCCGGCAATATAATAGTAGATTTCTCAATTCTAATAAGGTATTTCCTGAACTGTGAGGCCAGAGACGAAGCTCTTTTTCAATCAAAACCCTCAAATAAGGTGAAAAATATTTCCTCGAGAGAACCAAGCACCCTTCTTCAGCAGAAGATGAATGTGGACGTGTATTTGTATGCTGATAATTCCTCCACAGAAAGAGACCCTCATTCTGCGAACGTGTGAGAAAACCCATCAGCTCATGACATCCATCTCCGCAGCTCCACTCACATTTTCTTTCCTTTGCTTGTAATTGATTTCTTCTTCAATTTATTAATATGGCCTGTGGAGCGCCTGGAGCACAACGCTAGTTATCTGAGGCCCACCAGGACCCCGATCTCCGCAGATGAGCCGCCTTAATAAGTGTTCAAGTAAGGTATTGATTACACAATCGATGTCTGTTTCTCTGCACGCTGCTCAAATGATTACTATAAAATGGAACGGCATTAAGCAATGAGATGAGTCCCCCTTTTTTCAATCATTTTGCTTCAATCTAAATTTCAATAGGCTCTTTTCTGATTGATCGTGTGTAAATCTTTAACGCAACCTTTCATAACAAGAAGGGATCCAGAAAAAATAATCAGCAGATAACTGTTTTCCAGCACCTCAAGGTTTTATTGACAAAGATCACTGTTATTTTCAACAAGTGGATCTGGCAATAAGTGACATGTTGCACAAATAATTAACACGGTAAGGAATCTGAATGACTGAATATCTACATCAATATGTGGCCTTTCTTTTTCAAAACCATTATGTCAAAGGACCACATGTTCAATCTGTATGTTTACCCAGAAACCTTCTTCTTACCACATTTCCAACATTATACACAAGATACTTTTATGCATGTTTCTCCAAAAGATATAGATCCAATATGTTTGACATGATAACTCGCTCCGATGTACATCATATGTACATTGTGAGCTATGACATTGTTTTATTAGTGTTTGTATAATCTTTATGTGACAATGTGGGTAAGAATGCAGCATTGTCCCTTTTTCAGAAGCCACTTATGTTAACTGTTGTAAATCGTTTGTTTCAACCATAATATTTCCAGACACACAATATCAAGGGTCTGTTTGTGTTTGGCGTTATGTTAGGTTACAGTTCAGGTACCATCAGAATTAAATAAACAACTTGCCATTTAAACTCTAGTTCTTTGGTACTCACCTTTCCCACCACGTGTTGCTGGAGCAAACGAGAAAATTGCCCCAACACTTCCTGTATTTCTACCTTTGGTGACATCAGCAGTGATGTCACTGGGAGAAACCATGTTTGAGGGGGGTTTTGATTTAATTATTATTTGCCATCATTTGTGTATAGGTGTTCATTCAATCAAGCTGCCAAATGTAAGCTAGCATGGTGACAAGTGCCAGCAGAGGCTTTTTTAAAGTTGGTTCTTAAAGATGACTTTCACTAGACTGGCTAACAAGAATGGTATGGTCTGGGTCTATACAACCAGTTGCCTTTTAATTGACAGGAGAGGAAAGTGCATGTGATGTGAAGCCATTTTAGTTGCTTGTAGTTTGAATTGAATTTTGTTGACTTAAGCTGGGTTAATTGGTAATTATTTTCTCCATGCTTATTTTTCCTTACACCTCCCAGATATTTTTTTTAGAGAATAAGTCTCTTCAGGCCATGATGCAGAACGTCTGGCCTTCATGTGAACTTAAAGTGGCCTGAATATCCCAAAACAAATGAGAGCCTTTTATTACAGCAAATTGTATTCTGGATGAGAACCTAAAGTGGAGCATGTTGTAAACCAATATAATTTCCCTTTATTTTAATAAATTAATTTATAACACATTTGACATACAAATTAGTTTTTAGTTTTACTCAAAATTAACAAGACCAAACAAAAACACAGATAAATGCAATAAACTCAGCTATTAGTTTTTTTCAATGAAGAGATGTTGACGCACTTTTTCTCACCCAGTAAACATGTAAATATATCTTATTATAATGAAAATAATAAAATGGTAGGATGCATTTGGCAGCAGTAAGAGAGAGAGAGAGCTGCTCTTAAATATATTAATAACATGCCTTAATTAGCAAACACTACTTGTTTATTGTTTTTGTCTTTTATACAATAAATGTGTTGAAAGAATATATAAAGGGTGTCTACACAAATGACAACATAGGAAGATCAGGTAAAGCAGCAGGCTTCATCAGTGCACTAGACTTTATTACATCTACACCCTCAGCGGGTTAGTTTGAGAGCAGTGGGATGAACGTTGCAGATGTCGAACCAGTGGAGATCCACCTCCTTGTGTGGCAGCAGGCCATTCCGGGGCAGAGAGGGCCAACGCCAGCGATGGCGGCTGCTCACCACCTGCCAGAAGCAGGAGCCCTTCAGCAGAAAGATGGCATTGTGGGTATAGGAGAAGTAGGCAGCGTCGATGTTGCCATCTGGATGGTCTCCGCTCACCACTGCGGGGAAAACTTCTCTGATGTTTTTGGGGAAGCCTCGTGCCAAGCTGTTGGCTTCAACACTGAATGCGTACACCTGTTTGAACAGATAATTGTTTCCCATCTTATTCAGTGATTTAATTACAACAGGAAAACAAATCACAGAGGAAGCGTAACAAGTTTGTTTGCATGCAGAGGAACAATAAATGAGCTTGGGCTTTAGGTTATTGTATATCTCTGTTCTCCAGACCAGTTTTGTTAGATTATAAATCCTATAAAGAACAAGTATTTGGGATGGACTTAAACCAGAGACAGATCAAAGTCTTAATAGGGTCACAGGGCTCCCCACCAGGACACATACATTATGCCCTCTGTGCATCACATATGTATGATAATGAGTAAAAAGATTTTATTCTTGTAATTGTTTGACTTTTTCTCGAAATTCTCAGAATATTTTTTCTTCAATACAGCCCTAATACTGCAGCGTAAGGATCTGCTGTAAGATGAAACTCCTTGACAAGTTTGCAATTAATGAAATTATCAAAGTTTCCTTTTGAACTGCCTGAGTGACTTTGACTGTCGTGAATGATCTCCAGCCGTCAGCCCACAGGGCCTCTCTCTCACACCATCCCCAAATCTACTGTTTCTGATTCTGACCCAACTAATCTAACAATCACTGTTCGCTCCCTTCGTACATTGCCATTTCTCATTCGCCACAGAAGAGATAAGGGTGCCGTTCTTACAAGCGTGTTTTTGAAGAAGTAGATGTGGGAGTCTCTCCTGTCATAAAAGGCTGTGTCGATTGGACCAGGCACCCCGGGGAAACCTTCAGAGATTAACCTCGGATACCGATGACCTTCTGGGTCCTGTCTGAACACCTTGTCGTTCTCGCTGTTGTACCTCCAGAACCGAGTACCTGCTCAAAACAAGAATAACACTCCCTCAGGATTTTCTTTAAGGAAAAGGACCACCCTCCTGATAAGTGTGATATCTGTACCTTTAAAGAAGTAAACAGCATCTCTTCTCCTGGACCAGACATGCACACATGCATCCACACCATCCACTGGAATCCCACGCCAGCCGGCCTGCAGCGCCACTGGGTCGCCGTAACGTGTGCGGTTGTTTCTGTTCTCATACAGCCAGTACCAGCCGTCTCTCATGAAGTAGGTGTTAAAGCGTATGGCCACCTCCCCGTAGGCCGTCTTTTCCTTTCTGATCCAATCGAACACTGTGTTGAACCGACCTTTACAGACCCCTGGGGAGAAGAAAGTGGGACTTGGTGTCAGTCTGTGTAAATAGAACTGAACCTTATTGATCTCTGAATGTGTGTGTGTGAATGTAGACACTAGATGGTGCTGCAACCATGTACCATAGAGGTGCTGTATGGCCTTCCTGTCCGTCCAGTCCATCTCAAAGCCAGACTCATGTGGCAGATAGCTGGGCTGCATTATAGATCCAGGTCTGTATATGTGGGGGAGACCTAAGACGTGGCCGATCTCATGGACTGCCACCTGCCACAGGTTGGAAATTAAAATATTTGAACCTGAACTTTACTTTCTTATGATACCTCTGTTTTCATTGACATACACTCACTTTGAGAAGGCTGATCCCGCTTCCGGCATTGGGACCAGTGAAGTGCTCATCGTCATCAAAGTGTATATCACCCAGGAACCAGGCGTGGGCAAATTCTTGACCTGTGCCGTCAAACCTCTGTTTGCAGCCGAGATGTCTTCCTGTGTGGGACAGAGAATTTAAATAAAGACACAACTCTGAAGAAAAGACAAAAGCTTTATTGTAGAAAACGAAAATATTGCAGTTCTATGGAAAACTGAACAACTGCAATTTAGTGATTCTTAACATGAAAGCTGTTTTTACCGTCTATATTGTTATATAATGAAATTTAGAAAGTGAAAAATGAGTTTTACCATTAAAATATAAAAATAAATCATCAATATAAAAATATGTTTTGTTGAGTTTCATTTGTATTTGGCTGAGAACTACCTGTTCCAAAGCCCAGCCTGATGTCAACATCCTCCAGCGGGGAGCGTGTGTCCTCCACGAACTCCAGCGGCGACACCTCGCTCCACATCCTGAAGGCCAGTCTGAAGATGTACCTCTGCTCCTCGACGGACAGCTGGCTGCTGTAGCCTTCTCCAATTAGCCTCCACTTCAGCACCCTCTTGGAAAAGGCCATGTAGCCGGTCTCAGTCACATCTCTCCTGCGTCTTTGTTTGGACACAAGAGCGGCAAGGTGGCGTTTCCTGCGTCGCACTGCTTCACTCTGACGCGTGTTCACACTGATATTTACCACTTGAGAGTCTATGATGAGATGATTGGAGCTGTTTGTAAGAAAAGTGTCAGCAAATAAGTTTGATTCCTGTGTGTAATTCATGCTGGAGTCACTGGAGTTGCCTGTGGGGACACTTTCTGTGTCATTAAAACTGAATAAGTCGTCTTCAGAGGAGTTTGCTGCACCAAAAGAAGCATCATTGGTTAAACTAGTTTCTGTGCTGTTACTATCTGTGCCATTAAAAGCTTCACCAGGACTTATTTCCATATCTGAGGTGCTGCTGTTCTCGGCGTTCAAGTCAACCTCCATATCAGGGACCCCACATCTTGGTTTGTTCATTGCCAGCTTTGTGGTCTCATCGAACACGCCTGTGACAGGCAGGCCCGATAACTTCTGGAACTCCTTAAGTGCAGATATAAAGGCTTCGCTCTCAGTTGGTCTCTTGTGGTCGTATTCATCGTCATCCTGAGGATCATCCCTTGAATGAGGCCCTGAGGTCCCCTCCTGTATCGTGGCTTCCAGTTCATCCAGGAAGTCGTCATTAAAATTTGCGTGTGACTCTTCAAACTGGATTTCCTCCCAGTTCACTGGCTTCATGAATCCATATCTAGAGAGAAATACCTACAAGAGAGGAGTTAAAGTACATTTACGTCCTATAATGTATCATGAGACGTATAATCAAATAGATGTGAAGGTTAAAAAGTGTAAGAAATTACCTCTGCCGTGTACGTGTCTGTTATAACCTCAGCTTGGTGAGAACTGAGGGTTTGCACATCAGAATGATCCCGACTGTGGAAAAGTTTCTCTGCATCAGCGGAGCTAATGCTGGTCCAAAAAAGCAAAATGATCAGCTGGGTAAAAGTCAGCATCGTGGCGTTGGGTTCACTCCTGAGATTAAATAAAAGTCAAGGCAAGTGAGCAGCCAGTGTTTTATAGGCAAATCCTGACTTTAGCCGCACCCACGTGAAGGTGTGACTCTATGGAGATGTCCCACTTTTCTCACCTTTGGGTGAAAAGTAAACCTATCTCTTGACTGGATTGTGTGGATGTGTGATACATGCTCCACTGATTTTAAATGGACTGTTGTGAAGGAGTGAAACGCTTTGCTTTCATGTGGACATGAAAGTGACAGTGTTTCAGGACAACCATGACCTGTGCCACAAACACACACAGTGTTTTACAGTGAATAACCACAATGATCAAACCATTCCAGCACCAAACTGATCCAAGTTTATTTTCAAAAATAATCGCTTCCTTATGTTCAACATAAATAAATATATAATCATATACACATTTCTGTGGCTTCTCTGGCAAAAGACCCCCCTTTACTCTTTCGCGAAGTATCTTAAATAAACATTATAACTTTTAAGAAGAGAGGGTAAAGTTCAACAGACAAATGGTAACACAAATAAATAACACAGAATATAAAAAATAGAGTCGACAGAGTGGATGATTTTAAAGTGGTGGTGGCTGAAGAGCTTTGGCCATCGCTGCAGCCAGGTGCTCCGCTGTTGGCTTCTCTGCAGTGCAGCTGACACACAGGCCTTCTGCCATCATTGCATCTTGTGTGGTCGGTCCTATGGCTGCAAACTGGAAACACACATATAGAAGTGGACAATCTGTTAATGGCTGTAGATTCCTTCAATTTTTATGTGTGTGACTGGATGAGGATGCTGTACCTTTATTTCAGTGAGGTGTTCACCCGACAACCTCCGCACCACTTCTAGGCAAAACTTCACTCCTGATGGGCTGAAGAAAGCTACGCTGGCTGGTGTTCCCTGTCAATGCACAGACAAAATGAGCTTTTTGACCATAGAATGCATTCTCGAACATGTTTTCAGTGTTTTTACCAGCTCTGTAAAGTAGTTCTTCAGGTTTTTCTCCAGGTCCGGATGTTCAGCTGTTTGATAGACAGTCAGCGTCTCTAGGGGAACTCCTGGAAACAAAGACATCGATCCCCACAGTGAAAAAGGTAGCACAAATTACTATTTTATAATTAGTATAACCCCAGTGGGACTTTACCACCTTGAGTTTTAATGGTGAGGCCCAACAGAGGGGGAAATGCTTACCACTTTCCCTCAGAGCCGTAGGCAAGACTTCTCTTTTGATTGAGCCACAGGGGAAAAAAAGTGGTGGAATATTTGTGTCCTCTCCTACAATGAGAATTAATTAAAAGGTCGTATTAGTTATCAGAACAATCACAATTTTTTCAAATTAAGCAAAACCTGATGAGGTATAAAAAATATCATACGTTCAATGATAAAGCGTGATAGGACGTCTGCCGTCCCTGTGTCCTCACCCAAAGGATTCAGACCTAGATTCTGAACTGTGGATTAAACACAAAAAGGATTAATAATGCATGCAATGATAAAATCATGCACATATTACAATAATAATAAAAACTGCTGACGTTGACCATGAACAAAGAAGGTCAAAAACACAGGATCGTGCTGCACCTGCGTCACAGCAAACTGTCACTTGTGTACAACCTCTTTCCAAATGACTGAGGGCAGTAACATCACTTCACACGTCCCTGTGAGCACCAGGTGCCTGACACACTCTGCTGCAACTAGCATTAACACAGCAGAGGTTTATAACAAACACAATGCACAAGTCATTTTGAGAAGAAGTACAAGAAAAGTGTTTTCAGACGTGACAATGACTCACCTAAAGCAGCAGTTGCCTTCCCGACCACATAGATGGACTTGGTGTTCCATTTGTCTTTCACAGAGCTGATCCACTCTGAATTAAGAATTATGTGTGGGAAAGAGAAATGAACATTTAATTAAACTTGAATTCAATTGTTTCATCAGTTTAGAAATCCAGACGTATGTTTTATCAGAACATGTGCTTTCGGATGATTACGATCATCATGAGGGGTTAATGTAGTTTTCTGTTAAGTCTCACCCTCCCTTCTTTCTTCAGCCTCTAAGCACATCTTCACGGCCTCTACCGCTCTTGGACTGGTGAATATAAGTCCTCCGTGTTTTTCTGGTTGGAAAAGCTACAAAAAAATAAAAGAGTGAGAATGTGAAATACAAGAACACAAATATATTGAATTTATACTGATGTTACAGTTTAATTTACCTTATCCGACAACGTGTTTAATGAGACAAACTTAAAAGACAGCACAGGGATCAGGGTGGCTTTGTGACCATGTGACGCCAGCTCCTGGAGAAACAAAAATAAAGAATATGCAGTCAAATGCAAAAAATATTAAGATCTGACAAATGTTCCACATCATTCGATGCAAGAGAAACTGCCTCTACCTTGATGTAAGGATCAGGTCCAGTCTCTCCATCTCTTGGTTCTTTCAGGAGCAGCACATGCATCTTGATAATAACCTTAAAAACGGTGTATTGACAAAATAAATGAGTAGAAAGCAGGGAGCCGTGTGAAGGCAGCTGTGGAACCTGCACAGACACTGAGGACAGAGGGTGTGAGTGATACAACGAGCTCAGCTACACCCTCAAACTGTCATGTGCAACCTACTGATAACAAATATGTCGCCTCACGGTAATGGGACAGTGATCAGGAGGTGATTAAAAAGTTGAAACCCTTGTCTGCAGCTAAAACATGTCCTCCTGCCCTGTTGTTGTTTACATTAGCAGGACACGCTAACACGTTAGCCCGATCAGCTGTTCCCTGAATGGAAGCTACCATCGATACACATATTTAATCTTTCTCGTGTGATACGATTATTTCTATCTGTGGTTATAAACACAACATAAAACACACAATGCAGGTACCTTGACTTGTTCTTACAGCTGAGCGAGTGACGACTCCAGCCACGGTGAAGAAAGGGAAGAATAAGCAGTGAATATTTCACTAACTTCTCCATATACGCTTTTTATTTCATAAAAACAAAAACTATTAAAATTAAAACATAAGTCACGCTATTAGGCGGTGTTAATATCTATTTATAACAGTATTAAAGTAGTATAAGTAGAGTTTAAAGAGCTTCCACCCCTTTTTTAAATGGTTCATTCCGTTTTACCAAACGCAAACCGGAAGCCATTGCGGCTCTAATGGTTGCTAAGCTAGATTGCTGGTCCTGTACATTCGGAGCCGTAATGGCGGCTTCACTGTGTCGCTTTCTCCGTGAGGCTCAACTTTAACACCGTGTGCTCCGCCCACTCTCGGGTGACACGCGTGGTGTGTGGATCTCTTCGCAGCAGCATGGCGTCTTCAGCTAAGAGGAGAGCGGTGGGTTTGGGCAAAAATCCCGAGGAGGGCGACAGCAGCTCCGACGAGAGTCTGGAGGAGGAGGAGGAGGACTCCGGGCAGGAGGACAGCGAAGCGTCGGAGGAAGAGATCAACGAGGTGAATTAACCCGGAACACGCGTTCACTGGCCTCTGCTGGCTAACGACTTAGCCAGCTAACCCAGCTGCTACTCACACTGTGAAGTATATGAGATACATATTTACGATGTAACGTTATTATATGAAGGTACATATACTTATAAGTATTCACAGTACACGTCAACAAACCTGCTTCAGAGAAACTAGACCCTGAAAGTAAACGAAGTAGCTTCTCTGTTATTGTAGCATCAGAAGGAGCTGTGATTGATGACTTGTTTTACTTTGGTCTTTGTTTGTAACCGCTCTGTTTCCTTCCTGTTCTTCAGGAAGTCACTGTGGACTTCGAGGCTCACACGATCTCAGTCAATGACTTCAATGGCGTCAAGAAGCTGCTGCAACAGGTGCGTCTGGGACAGTGTGTTCGCCCACTGAGGACTTTATTAGGAACACCACCATAACATTACATAGGTTCTCTCTTTGCTCCCAGAGGAGCAGTGACATTCATTCATTTTTATTTATTTCCTACATGTAAATTAAAAGTATGTGCACTTTTATGTATTGCACTGCTACCACATGATTGACTGACTTGCACGAAAAGGAAAGTGCGTGGTTGTATGGTAGCTTGTTGTATGTTTGATTCGAAGTGTGACATCCCTTCTCTTATGTTTGGACACAGCTCTTCCTGAAGGCTCATGTAAACACATCAGAGATGACAGATATCATCATTCAGCAGAATCATGTTGGGAGTGTCATCAAGGTGAGTTGCTCATCCGTCTGTTCTCATTTTAAAATACAAAGGTTGCAGCTCCAACATGTTTTCACCTGCTCTTTCTCTTAATTCCAGCAAGCTGAGGTACCAGAGGACAGCGATGACGACGACCCAGACGAAGTGTTTGGGTTCATCACAATGCTCAACCTAACAGAGAGGAAGGTAAACACCATCGGCGCAGGTTTCACAAACAGGCTTTGAAAACAGCGGCCATTTAAATTTAATTTCAGCTGTATGTGTCTCTTATTCTGCTGGCAGGGAGTGCAGTGTGTGGAGGAGGTGAAGGAGCTGATTGTGGAGCAGTGTGAGAAGAACGCCACCCACAGCGTCACAGAGCAGCTAGAGCAGATCCTCAGCGACACCAGCAAGCCAGTGGGGCTCCTGCTGAGCGAGCGCTTCATCAACGTCCCTCCACAGATCGCCCTTCCTCTGCACAAACAGCTACAGTGAGTTCTTGATATGTACTTGTCTGTCCTCCAGAGTATTTTCTGACGGGAAGAAATGTACTCATTGTATTCCCTTTAAAACAACTATCACAGCTACCATTCAAATGGAAATAAATATGCCATAATATGCATCATGACACCCGTTTCCACCGAATTGAAATTGCATCCTGGATGTGACACTGAATAAAACCTAAGTAAAGTTTGAAGATGGGAAAATGTTACGGGTCTTTTGAAAGTGTTGTGTGCATGAAAGTAAACCAAATGTAATTCTGTCCCCCAGGGAAGAAATAGCTGAAGCTCAGAGGACAAACAAGCCCAGTGGGAAGTGTCACTATTGTCTGATGATCAGCAAGACCTGCAAAGAGGCAACCAAGACCATCCCAGCCAGAGGAGGCGCTCCCAAAGAGGAATACATGTTTGTCAATGCAGAGGAGGAATTCTTCTCTGAGGTAAACACAAGCAGTCTAAGCATGAAGGATACTATGTAAGGTTAGCTCAGACTTTAATTGGATAATAACTTAGCTCTCTAGATGCAGTTCCTTTGTTGTTTTAATTTTTAATGTGATGAAAACCTTTTGTGTCTTATTGCTCTTGTAGTTCTGAATGTTGTCTGTTTCCTCCTCACAGCAAGCCATCATGAAGTTCCACTACTCGGTCCAGGAGGAGACAGACTCCTGTTTGAGCGGCAGATGGTCGTTTGATGACGTCCCCATGAAGCCCTTCAGGACAGTGATGCTGATACCTGCAGACAGATTCCCTGCCATCATGGACAAACTCAAAGAATACTTAACCGTGTGAACCTCACAATAAACCAAAGCCACCTATGTACACACTGAGGACTTTCAGGGTCATGGAAATGGTTCACTTCTCTCTTAAGAGACTTCTGGTAACATCATCTACAGTAGTGTCACTATTGTAAACCTGACGAGCTGTTTTTTCTCCAGAAATTGTAGAGTTTTTTTTTTTTACAAATTCCAGGTTCATTTAAGAAACGTCGCTGACGGATATCACCTCTGCTTATAGTGCAGAAATATAAAAATGTTACATTGTGAATATAAGTAGAACAGCACAGTCATGATGTACTGATTATCAACCATGTGTTTATGAAATTAGTAATTTTAGACTCTAGTCTCAGTGAATGGAGGAGGAAACGGGTCATTTGCTAATTTGATAACAGTTCCAGATTTTTCTTTGATGAAACCTGGTAGAAAGCTGATGTGAACCTATTTGATCTGGTTTAATTTGCTAATATTAAATCATATATACAAGCATTTTTTGTTTTTGTCGACCAATTTCTATTAATCAAGCACCATCAAGCATGTCTCTCTTGACTGATTAATAATATGAATATTATAGTTCTGCATACCTTGACAATGATTAGCCCTCTAAAGCTGAGAGCATGTCAACTCAAAATCTACACAGCTTCTGAGATACCAGTGTTTCCAGACCAACAGTGGTGAGGTGAGAGTAGAGCAGGCGAGAGGGAGCGGAGAGACCATAATAAATCTAGAATGGCACCCAGATACCACATACTTCCACCAAGGCCCAACAGTTCCCTTATTAAACCACATTTAAATTCGCTAATGCAGATTTTTATTTAGATCTGCACCAAATTGCGCACACTCATAAATATCAGTTTCATCAAGATCCATGAATTCTTCTCTGAGAAATCAGTTAAAATGTTGGAGAAGCTCCTGGATTTCCTCCCTGATCTATCAGCATCAAAATGTTTACGGGTTGGTCCTTGAATTGTTGCAAGGTTTCAGGGAACAAGGAAACTTCCTCAGATACAGAACTCGAGAATACAGGACTACACATTGTTTCAGATCACAACGGATAAACAGTGTTTGTAGTTTGTTTACTACTTTTTATGTCAACTGACACCAGAGAAAACACCACCTTCGGAATAAGTCGGCATATTGTACATGAGACCATCAAAACAACTTTTAAGCAACAGTTATGATTACAATACTTGTTTTAAATTGGCTATAAATATTTGAAGCATTTCTGCATTTGACATTAAGATAAGAAGTTTTCAGATCATTGAATCACACATCTGTCGTAGCTCTGTGGCATCACCGCACAGCCGCTGCTGGCGTCACTGCTCATTATGGCAGCTTTCGGTTTCTCCTCTTTATGTTTTCTGGATCTGTCTGGGTCCAAGAGGCCTTGCAATATGTCTTTGCTCTCACTAGGTGGCAGATTGTAGAAGAAGTAGAGTGGCGCCATTTGAATGAACCTAAAAAAGATGGAAAAACAAGACTGAATATGGTCAACACTTCATTTTCATGTGGAAAACAACAAATCCTAATTTCAAGAGGATTAGAAAGATTTAAACCAAATGGCTCAATTTTACAATGATGATCATAGCATCAAAATATGTCTCACCAGCGAGGCAATAACAAAACCCACGAGAACGCAGATGTAATAAGCTTGTCCACATGGTGTTTTTGTCTTAAAAAAACGGGTTGACTTACACTTGTGGGGACATTTCAGACACTGTTCTCATATAGTTGTTCTCTGACAGAGTGTACTCGTGGAAAACGACCCACTCCGGGAGCCCGAGCTTCTGCGACTGAGCGCCGTAACCGGAGAACGGGTGAACCTGGGCCATGTGCTTGTGCGTCAATATGAAGTAGTTTCCTGCTCCGTCTACGTCTCTAGCGATCTGCGGGGGAAAAAATGGTGTAAACGTGGATCCAGTTTAAGGGGTAGATTCATCATCGCTGACACTTAGTTTCACTATACCTGCATGAAGAACCCAGCCAGCAGAGCCCTTTTGAGGTTGAGCGTGTTAGTCTTGGTTCCAAAGGAGGGGTCCGAGATGGGAAGCTCGATCCGGTTCAAAGTGTCGGTCAGCTCTGATCTAATGGCCTCAGCTGTCTTCAGGGCGGAGTGATCCAAGAAATAGTCCTGGCACCACATTTCAGAATTGATGTCTGGTGGTAAAAATGCATTATGACGTACATTTTCAGTCAAAGAGTGCATTGAGTCTCAGTAAGGAACTAAATTCAAAACAATGCTCCTCGAGAATGAGGCCCTCGAGAATTGAATAAAATGAAACTCTGTTAAATCTGTACTAACAACAAACCAGTGACTGGATGGAATTAAGTATGACATCTTGCTGAAGATTAATCCATGGGTAAGAGGATTTATTTAAATTCTCAGTGTTAATGCCTTGTTCCCTTCATATTAGTTAGAAATCAGGTTTATCTCTCGTGTGATTTTGTTTTTGATTTCACGTGAAGGGTGAAGCACATTGAGACGACCTCAGTGCACTGTCCTATTTAAACAAACATGTTTAGGTAGATTTAAGATCAGTATATTGGCTCTGTTCTTTAACATTGTCTCACATTGTTCTCTCTGGCTTTGTCTGAAAGCGTTGTAGATGTTAATGAGGGTGAAGTGGTCTCCTTCAGGGTGCTGGAACTTCCGGTGACACTGGACAGCTTCATGGCTCAGGCCGGCAGGTGGCTTCAGGAAGCAGCTCGGAGCTGGAGGACGAGGAAACAGTGTCCATGTGGTGAGATGAACCAAACAAATGATTTGCAATCCTTAGGAGAACTTGAATTGATTCTTATTCTAGTTCACAAACGTACCAGAGAGCATCGCTGCGATCGTCAGCATCTCACTCACACAGTCGAACTCGCAGGACGCGAGCAGAGCTTTGGCCATCTGAGGGTCCAGAGGGATTTCAGACATTATGATGCCGATTTCGGACAAGTTGCCGTCATCATCCAAAGCTGCGAGATAGTCGAGCTCCTCTAGCGCCTGCATGAGGCCTTCAGGATCTGACAATAATACAGAAAGTATCGGGTTTTTTTTATAAACTCACAAAATAACAATCTGTATAATCTTTTCTTCTCAAGAAATGCTCAACCAACAAAACATGAGACTACAATTCCCAGAGTCCTCAGCAAGACACATCATGAAAATTGATGTATTTAACTTCTCTCATTTCTATAATATATATACAGTATATATCATATCATTGACATTTATTTGTGGATAATTTGTAAATCCCTGACTTTAGTGCCTCCTAGTGGTGGCATTAAAAACATGTTTTAACAGAGGAAATAAATGAGCCAAAAAGTGATGCGTGGGAATTCTAATTGTTACAAACTTGAACCATAAGAATCCTTTTAGCTCTTTGAGTTTTCTATTCCCCACATTCTCTCAAACAGGAGAATATGAATCATACTTATTGGGGAAGAGTCATTTTTTGTGCCAAAATTCTGCGAGAATGGAGAGATGTAACAATACATTTGGCGTGAACCTTCGCTTCATTGTACTGGTTTGGCGCTGCCCTAATGAGCCATGTTGTGTAATCGTTAATGAGCTGGCCTCTTTGTAGCCTGTCCTGTTCATGTGAGGGTAGGTCAGAGCTCAGACAATGGTTGGTCGCAGGGTCCTGTCAGCTCAGCTAAATCATGGCTGACTGGGCCCAAACAGCTACACAGAGCAAATTCATCTCTTCTTCCTTCAGCCAAAAAAAACCCAACAAAAAATTCCCACACACACTTCTGGTTTTTGTTTTAGGGTGGGAGAGAAGGATGCTGTCTGTGGGAAACTGTGACCCAAAATAAAATGTAGTCATGAATCGTGTTCCAGTGTTAACTCGTCCAAGCTTCCCCCCCTGGGAGGATAATTCACCTGGTCGGTCGATGAAATCGCACTGTCCAAGGCCGGCTATCTCCATCCTTTTTAAGAAAAGGGCCGTTGGCGTGATGTTGGACTCCAGTATCTGTGGGGTGTTCTCCACAGGAAGCTGGCTCTCCTCTGGATACAGGCAGAAACATTTACCTAGCAAATAAATTGAATTCAATTCAGTACGACAATGAGCATCAGAAAAAAACATTTTCAACATTTTCCAATAGTTGAACTATTCTCCAGCTACATGTCTATCAGACATACCTGTTGGCCCCGACAGCTGCTTGCGTATGTCTGCCTGACATTGACTGATGGGTTCAAGAACCTCCGAGTTAGCTCTTATTCTCGGATTGTACACCTGCAGTCGGAGGTGAAACCCAAATACTAATTCATATCATCAGAATACTCATTAAAATGTATATCCGTCATAGGAAGTTATACCTTACCATTTTTTTCTGGACTCCTGTGTCGATGACAAAGTTGAGAGACTCTATCGGCCACCACTTGTCCTCGCCGTGGTGGGTGGAGAGGAAAACTCTCCTGGACGTCTTCGAGTCTGGTTGCTTGGTCAGAAATGGCAGTAGCCCTTCCTGGCCTGGGCACAGAACCGCAGGCACCATCTCGCCCAGGTCTGCCCCCAGCCTGGTGCCTTCTCTCTGGAGGATGCTTTGGGCACAGCGGGCCTCCTAAAATTAGAGGTTTGTTAAACCAGTCTTAGCTCTGAGCCCAATGGCACCACTCGTGAAAAATTGCAATAAAAATCTCATACCTCATCTGAGGCAAAAAACACAACAACGTCTCCGTCCTCTTTGGCTCGATGGATCTCCAGCACCAGCCTCAGCGCCGAGTAGAAGTAGTCCTTGTTGTCGCTGTTGCTGTGGACCACCTCAGCAGGACACGAGGCCTCCAGATTGATGAGAGGGATCCTGCCGTAACGTTTCAGCAGCTTGTCAGTCATGGGCGGGACGGCGAGGACCACCACCCTGAGCTCGGGCCTCTGCAGCAGGATGTCCTTGAGGAGACCCAGTAGAATGTCTGTGCTAACTGTCCTCTCGTGGGCCTGGTCGATAATAATGGCTCCATAGTGCTCCAGGAAAGGGTCTGACATCATCTCTCTCAGCAGCATATTGTCAGTGCAGTATCTGGGTAATTAAAGCCATCAGAGGGGTGTTACGAAGCAATAACTTTACAGCAGCACAAGTGTGTGTGAGTGTGTGTGAGTGTGTGTGTGTGTGTGTGTGTGTGTGTGTGTGTGTGTGTGTGTGTGTGTGTGTGTGTGTGTACCATCCATCCGCTGAGGAGCAGAGGGGTGGAACAAACTAAGAGTGACAGTGAAGGTTTGTGGATGATGTAAAAGTGTCACTCTGTGATGCTGCTGCCGGCTGTGAAACAGACTGAGAGCTTGTCACAAACCTCAGGACAGTGTCGGAGGAGCAGCATGTCTCCAGAGGGATGGTGTAACCCACTTCATGGCCTATGTTGACGTCCATTTCATCAGCTACGCGCAGGGCCAGATCCACGGCCTGCTGCCTGTTGGTCTGTGTGCACACGACCATGCCATGCTGGTACTGGGCAGACAGGCAGAACTCTGCACACCACTGAGGGATCTGAGAGAGAAAAGCCACTGGATGTCTTTACAGTGCTTTGGATTATTTCTTCTCCATTAAACAGAACACTTTTCTCTCTATTTACATCATCCTGGTTTTCACTGGCGGGGATCCTTTCAGGATTGCACTGGCAGCTTTTGTTTAAGCACACAGCAAAACAAACACTGACAGGATATATCCTATGGTATTATCGCTCATAATGCAAAATTGCTTTGGCAGCATGTGGCGGCTCCAGCGGATCAGGGCTTAGCAGCAGGAGGTCCCCTAACACCCCTGCTGGAGCCTTTGTGCTGGCTGACAGACAGGCAGGCAGGCAGGCAGGCAGGCGGGCGGGCTGGAGCTGGGACAGCATCACAGTAACACAACAGCATCTGCTGAGCGGGGCAGCTTGTTCACACTGACTCACATCATTTGGTGCTTTGCTTTAAAAGAACATCCCCGAGAATCAAAACTATAAGACAGAAGTTGTGCTGTGAGGCAGATGAAGGTGAAAATACTGGACAGAAAAAATAACACAGAGAGGATTTACTGTACTTCAGATAATTCATGGTGAGCTTTACAAATGTGCAGTTTGAGGGCTGGACTCAACATGAAGCATAAAGTCATAAAAAGTGGGTTATGCTTTAGTATTTGGGTTGAAATGTAAATCTGAAAGTACATTAGATATGGAGAAATAAAGGAGCTTGCACTAATAGTTATGGCTGATGCCCCAAGCCCCTAAAAATGTATTAATGTAACTGTACACATGAAACTACACATGAAATCTTTCTGGCAGATTTCCTCCCCCCAACTCTTCCACATGTGAATATCATATGGTCTTACCTGTGTACTCCTCCCAGTCTTGGCTGTCCCACTCACAATCACCAGCTGGTTGCTCACCAGAGCTTCCTCAAACTCACACCTGAGCTTCCACACAGACAGAGTCTTCCTCTCCTTCAGCAGTTTGTAGTAACGGGAGGAAAAGGGCAATCCATCGAACTGATTCAGCTCCAGATCGTCTCCAAAGCCGAACGAGTCCTCCCCGGGACATTCAACACTCTCAGCGCAAACTTCAGCCGTCTCCCCTGGATTCTTTTCCTCCGACATGAGAGTGCACGGATGATTTTTTTCCCACCCTCCCTTCCAAACAAGCTCCAAGTCCATTCAGATTCAATCAGATATGTGCTATTTAAAAATCAATTAGCCAGGATGTCTCCTATCTGCCAAAACTACACGATTAAACCTGTCAAACTTCGGATTTGTCCTCCTCGAGCCTGGCTGGCAGACACGCAGTGCGCACCGGTGCGTAATTTCTCCTCCAGGCAGCGTGGCTCCACACGTGCTCCAGTTTGCTTATCGGACTTCACGGTCAATTCTGAGCGATGTGGATGAACTCGTCATAATCGCCTGAATATTATCCAAACGATCACGTGTTGAGCAGTGAGGACGCTCAGATCTGATCCTAAATTTCTCTTGCATATTATGTTGAAAGGGGAAAAAAACAGTGCAGTATATTTTTTTAGCTGCAGAGATTATAAAGCAATACCCTGTTTAATTTCCACCACTTGAAGCAGATTTATATTTATATATATATAGTTCTAGGACATAAAGTGATAATGAGACAGTATCTTAAGGGATGAGAAACCTTAAGTGGTAAGAGGTAAGAGTAAGTTAAGAGATAAATAATACCATGATAAAATTGTCATAATAAAAAAAACCCCACACAAAATAAAGGAAATAAAGCTGTGGACTTTTTTTTCACCAAGTAGTGTAAATGACCTTATTTTTTGATTCTTGACTTTTCTTTAAATATAGTTGAAAAGCATCTACTGGATTAAGTTGAACTCAATGCATTTACCCAATCAACAAATTCACTTTCAGCAGGCTGCAGTCTCACCACCAGGGGCGCCGTTTGGTCCTCTTTATCTTCACCTACTCTTCATGTGTCAGCTCTGTTAAATTCTAGTCTGTAAAACTACAGCCTGTGTGTCTGTGAGTTACCATGAAACAATACATGTGGCCTGAATGATTTTAATTGCACACAAGTGTAGTTCAAATATTCAGCACTAAACACAATATTTTATCCTGTGGATCCCGATTCTCTCCTTTTGTTTTTTTGGTAAAATGCACTCTGTGGAATTATACAACCTGTAAGTAATTATATATTTTTTAACAAAAAATCCCAAACCTGCACGAATTGAAGCACTCTCTTTAAAAACTCTTACAAAGACCTTAGCAAACTGCTCTTACACAGAAGCTCTGACTATTGAAGTAAGACAAGTGTTAAATGGTAAAACCAATTACACTTGCACTGTGAGAATCAGTATTCAATCTCCTGGTTGTGTTTCAGCTCGAGTATAAAAGAAAAGCCGGGGGCTCTTGACAGAAAGGTTATGTTGTGTAGATACGTGGCAATTGTGCCTTTAAAACTGTTAAAGTGCTCTTTGTATTCTCACAAAGCAGAGCTGCTGCGTGTGGACGGAGAAATTGATTGTTTCTTTCATATCTCTTCATTTCACAAAAATCAAAACCACAAACTTTCTCCTGTGTTTGAAAAAACAGTTTTTACTAATGCTGCTCGAGTGTTCAAAATACCATGATCAGAGGCCGACACTTGTTTTCTTTACATATGATGTATCAAACAGTCGTCATAAAAAAAGCTATGAAAAACGTGTTCCACTGTAAAACACTGTACAAGGAACGCAGATCACTCGCAGACGTGACGTACAGTCAGGTGACAGGACAAGAGGACGGCCTCATCAGTACGTGGACACATATGGCACTGACAAAGCAAAGGAAACAAAGCCATGGATGTAAAACTAGTGCGTCATTGAAAAAATCGAAGTATCAAAAGTAAGAAAAGTTCAGTCTGACGTCAGTTTTCAGTTTATATGTTTGAGAGAAGCTGTGCTGAAAGGAAATGCTGCTGAATGTAAATGTTAACACGCTGCTAAAACAAGAAATCTGTAAAAAATGATACAACCATGTTCGGTTTCCACGTCTGATTTGTGCAGGATATTGTATCTAGGATGTAAATTTTAAAAAAAAATAAGTGAAAGGAAAAAGGTTTGAAAAACTGCAGAGGATGATTCGGTTGGGTGGTGGAGTTACCGAACTTCATATCAGTTGCAGAGATGGAGCAGTTTGTCCTGGTTGAGTGAATCCATCCTCACCCCATCACACAAAAAAAAGATTTTAAATCCACACATGGACGCTGTGGCCGGACACCGTTGTTTTTACATGTGATGCCTTCATGGCCGCAGCTTTAAGACAGTCCTCAGCGGCTCCACCGTTGATCCTCGATGCATGGAGGGAAATAGTCCAACACACCTGACCTTCAGTGGAAGCAATGCTTTAAAGAAAGCTTCCTCTCTCTCTGGGATGTGAACGCTCGCTTGAGCTCGGCTCATTTTTAGATCCACGTTCAGCTCATCCCTCAGCACCCCCACATCCCCCGAGTGAGCTTCAAGGGGTACATGCAAAGGGAAATGGCAAAACCAGTGACATTTCACAATCCCAACTCGTCACCTGGAAGAAGAGGTGACGAGCCGCACTTTTCCAATTCCCACACAGTGTTTCAGCTATTTAATCAGGTTGCAGAGCTGCAGCGGTGACACCACGGCAGAGTGTTCCTCCTCAGAGGCCGCGGTGAGCCTTTCTCAGTCCGGCTCAAGGATCGGCACAGAGCGTTTAAGCTCTGGGAAAAACCCCCCACTGAGCTGTGAATGAATTAGAAGTGTCTCTGAAGTTTTCTCTCAACTCAACTCACACTCTTCCTGCTGTGTGCAGAATAAAACTCATCTAACAGGTTCCCTTCATTAAAACACTTTTCACAAAAAAACGTTAATGCACAATTTCACATTGGCTTTAAAAGAAACAAAATCCCTCTCCTTCATAAAGATGAGCTGATATGGAAACAAAATAGTGAAATTGATGCAAACAACAAATCAAAATGTAAGTCGTAGTAAAAGTGTCTGGCACAGTGCACTGCGTGGCAATAAATACAGAATATAAATACTTTACATGTACCTGAGCTCAGACTCGTAGCACCGTTCAGAGACAGAGCACCAAAGGGACACGGCAGATCTCCTGATTCAAAACTCAGGGAAGCCACCATCTTCTTTTCTTTTTTTTTTAAAGGTTTTCAGAGCTTCCTCATAGTGCAATTTCTTTTTAGTGTCTTCATCACAACAATGTCCCTTTTCGGTCAAAGTCTCAGCTGCTGTATTTGACGTTGGCAACTATGCAAGGCTTTGGTAGTGTCGGAGGCTGCTTGGGACTGGGTCTGAAACAGGGAGAGAAGTGATTCACATGTGAGTGACACCTTCTTCCATCCTTCCTTACTTCTTTACTTCCTTCCTTTTTTACTTCCTTCTATACTTTCTCTAATTTACTTTCTTCTCTACTACTTTGTTCTTACTTCTTTCCTTACTTACTTCTTTACTTCCTTCACTCACATCCTTCCTTCCTCACATAAACCCAATTTACCATATTGCAGAATTTAGGACAAAAGTAAAATAAACAAAACATTCTAAGACACAAAAAAACACACACAAAAATAAATTAAAGCACTTGAATCAACAGCGTGAGGTAAAATAAGGTGAGATTAAAAGTCTTAATGAGTTGAGCTTCAGATGGATCTGTGTTTTGTTGTTTGTTGTAGTTGTTACCTGCAGCGTCAATATAAATAAATCGATCTACATCATGGTTGGGACTCACCTGTTGGGGTGTGGGACAGGGCGCACAGGTCTGGGTACGCCAGGTTTCGGTGCGGGGCCACAAACAGCAGGAGGCCCTTGGACCACAGTGTGGCCCTGCACCACTGAGTGACTCCTAACCAGACGAGAGCTCCTTGGATCAGCAGGAAGTGGCTTCTGAGGGGGACTGGGCTTCTCCAACTCCTGAAAAATAAAAATAATACCTGAGAACAACCTTATCATTGAGGTTAACAAAGCTTTAAAACATACTTTAACCTAAGACACTCGATCAGCTCTGTCTTTTCCTGACCTAGAAAAGATGAGTCTAGCTCTTTCCTCAGTGTCTCAGCTGCAGGTGGTGCAGAACACTGCTGCTCACATTTCAACACCATGATAGGTCCCTCTCTCCAACTCTTGCCTCCCTTCATTGACTGCCAGTCAGATTTAGGATTGATTTTAAGACTCTTTTAAAGCTCAGAACGATCAGGCTCCAGTTATATTACGGAGCTAATATCTCCCTCTGCTCCAGACTGTAATCTAAGATCTTCCAACCAACACTTTGCTAGTTGTTCCCATAAGTCAAGGCTTGTAACTAACGGTGACCAGGCTTTAGTCATCTGGACCCCAAGGCTCTGGAATGAGAGGAGATTAGACTTAACTTGTTTTCATTATTTAAAACATGCCTGATTTTCAACTGTTGCTTGTAATTAATATTTTCTATTATGTTTTGTCTTGATTTGCTCTGCGTTGTTTTATTTCCATGAATTTCCTTCAGCACTTTTTAACCTTGTTTAGATAAGTGCAGTAGAAATAACGTTTTATTATTATTATAATAATAATCTCCACCAGGTGGCACTCACAGTCAGACCATGAACAGATCAGGCCTGCTGCTGGTGTCCTCCTCACAGATGTGTCAGGGCAGCGCTGCCCATGCAATTTATATCAAGAGGAGCAGCTCATGTGGTTTTAATCTTCTATAGAAGACTGAGGTCATGATGAAGGCCCACTTCTGCCCCCATCTGGTCTCCATTCACTTCCTCCTCTTCTGATTTGTCGGAGGAAACATCACAGTTCAATCTCAGATGTCTCCCCTTTATACCCATGAGGTCAAGCATCATCACGAGTTTTGAAGACCATCATGCAGCGGGGCTGGGGTCAGCTCTTTCTCAGATATACCGAAGCAATATCAAATGGCAGTGAAGTGAAAAGCAGGCGGAAGAATAGAGCGCGTCTTACACTGTGGGGTGATTATGGCACAGAATGTTGCTGTAGTTTCAACTTACAATAAACCGAACCTGTATCTCACCCACGACTGTCTGAAAAAACCCTGCTGGCTGCTTCAGGTGAAGCAATCCAATTGGAAAATTCTTCCATGCCCCCAGCAGAGAGCTTTCACTGTGTGTGTGTGTGTGTGTGTGTGTGTGTGTGTGTGTGTGTGGTGTTGGAAAAGGCTTTGTCAATGTCTCGAAGCTGCCAAACAGCTGCTAAAGATACTGCTGGTGAAGTCTGCTGCCAACAGGAATCACTTTCAGTTTCACACTCCGACATTAAATAGGAGCAGCTGAAAGGGAAAAATCAACTTCTTGTCAGGAGTCAAAGCTCTGCCAGGAGCTGCTGCTGCTGCTGCAGCTCACCTGCTGTACAGGTGCAAGAAAACCAAGAAGCTTTATTTAAAATGGCCACGGAAACTGTGCCATATATTCTATAGCACAG